GCCTAGGGGGCCGTACATACGGACGTACGACCATACGTATTCCCCGTATTCGTACGGGGGGACACATAGCCCTACGTTACGTACGACAATGTTGGGATGCGATTCAGTAGAAGTTGGGGAAGTCTTCTGGGTCTTGCGACCAAGTGGTGAACTCCGTTGATGTTCTTGGAGGTGCCACCAGTGTTGTTACATCAGATGACGAAGAGGGGGGGGTGAGTGAGGGAACCGTGCCACGTAGGCGAGAGGAGAGTGACATGTCGGAGGGGTCCAAGTACCAGCGTACCGAAGGAGGAGGGCGACGCAGCAAGTTGGACTCCCCGGCTGCAGGTGGGAGAGACAAAACCATGTCTGACATCGTCACGGCGTTGGTGGATTCGAACAAACAAACTGAGAAAATGCTTGCGGGAACTTTCATGACTGCTTTCGAGGGGTTGAACAAAACGATGGCTGACGACAATAGCGCCTTGCTCTAATGCTTCGCTATGCTGACGGGGTTTTTGGTCGGACGTCCTGCACACAATTCCAACGGCGACAGAGGCGAAGGTCGACCGGACAGGGGTGAGGAGAGTCGACCGCATGAGCAATGACGTCAGTGCATGGATTTGAGCATTGCAATGCGGCTGGTGGAGATGGTCGGCTCCCATTACGTCATGCCAACATGTGAGAGACATCACAGACAACACTGACGCCGTAGGCATGGCGCCTTCCGTTGTTTTCATGTCTTTCTCCCACGGTGGTCAGTGAGTGTGTTGTTTGGCTGTGATGTGCAAGTTTATTTTTATTTTTTTTGGCTTTTGTTTGTCATTTTGTGCGTGCAGGACTCCCTTTGGCATGGAACCCACGTTTTCCCCTACGAAAATTCCTCTCGAGGAAGTCCTGCACATGGCTAGAGAGTCCACTCGTTCCGTGCGTGCGAAGTAGAGACTTCGCACTCGTGCACAACCGAATGATAGAGAACGCGCACGAGCTTGCAAGAAAGAGAGGTGTCCTATTTGAGTGTGTGCACACGATGGTTGCGGAGCTGAAGCGAATGTGCAGCGATGTCGATAACGCGAACTTGAGGGAGGTCGTCGCGGCATCCAAGCTGGGAAATTCCGAGCGCCTTGTTGCAGAGCTGCATGACGAGGTCGACCGCCTCCATGCATAGGTTCTGGTGTTGGAGGGGGAGGTTCACAAGGCCCAAGCGGGGGGGCGAACGATATTGACGTCAATGGACAATCCATCTTCTCTGAGTGGAGGGACTGCCGTTAGTGTTGTTGTGTCCTTTTGCCAGCAATGAGCGGAAGCTGCAGTCCGCTCTCATGGTTGGAGGATAGTTGGCGATGCGGACGTTCATGGATGACCATGCTCGAATTCGGGAAGATCTCCGAATACCAACCGCCGTGAGATCAATCGGATCGGTGAACGTTTACGCTGGACAGTCGAGGGGGATGCGGACTCGTCCACTAGTGGCATGGCGGGGGGAAGTGGGAGATGCCATCGTTGTAGTCTGGCATGTTAAAAAGGTTTGACATGGCTGTTTTGGTTGCGGCAGTCTTGCAGTAGTTGGGGGGAGGGGGGGAGGGACGCATTGTTGTTGACGCAGCAGCCGTGGATGTGCACACACCCTACGGTACTTGCTGAGTTTGAGTCTGTCTGTCTTTCCTTTCTGCATTGAGTCTCTTTTGTCCTAGGTGTTAGGACTTTGTGGATGAAGGATAGGGTTGGATGACGAAACCTTAGTCTGACTTTGTAGGGCTGAGGCTGGGGCTGATCCAACTTTCCAGGGGGGCATAACCCTCCCAAGGACCGGTGCTGACCGGCTGGAAATGGTTGGTAGGACTTAGTGGGCCTGAACGGCAGCTAAGGCTGACACACCAGCCAGTCTTTAAGTATTGAGGGCCTGTTTGAACCACCCCCCTACCGGACCTAGTAAGGCTGATGATCTGTGTCTGACGACTCGACTGTCCCGGGGGACACGAACCCCTCCAAGGACCGGTACAGACCGACGGGCTGCTCGGTGTGGCACAGTAGGCCGGAAAGGCTGAGTTGTGTGGGTTGAAAGCACAGGCAGAACCACGCTGATCACGTCGTCCTGACTGCGACGTTAAAGAATTCTTGCGGAGTTTGGGGGATCTCCTTAAATGCCTCCAGATCAGCTGATGGTTCAGTAGTGACAGCCTTAGAGTAGTTTTGAGTTGTGATCTTAGAGAGTCAGTCAGCAGGTCAGTGTCCGGGTAGGTCTAAGTGGTAAGGAGTGGAACACTTGTCGTACACTTGACACCACGATGGATGACTATCCGATGTATGGATTGCTTGTGGGGTTCTCCCTCTGGGGGACCCTCTGGCGTCTCCTCTTTCCCCTGTGGTTCTGGCACACTTTTACGTGTAGGGTAGACACCCGGGGTGGTACCTCCACTAAGCCATATTCGAAGGAGGAGGAGGAGAAGATGGCCACCATTCTGAGGGAAAGAAAAGAGAAGAAAGGGGCCAAGAAGAAGGCCCTACAGGAGGAGCAGGCGGCCAAGTTGAAGAAGATAGAGGAAGAGATGGCCAGAGAAAAGGGGAGAATAAAGAAAGAAGAAGAGGAAAAGTTGAAAGAGGTGGAAGAGAAAGAGGAGGAAGATGAAACGCCACTGCAAAGGAAGAGAGGGCAGTACAGTGGCAACAGAGATGATGAGATGGAGAAATGGATTTCGGAGTGGGTCGCCAACTTATCCCTGGGCGAAGAAGAAGAAGTGGCRATGTATATCCCCAAGGATGATCAGGAAGCCGCTATGAAAGCTTGGGACGCAGAAGAAGATGTCATAAAGCGGCAAGCGATGGAAGATGAGAAGAGGATGGAGTGGAAACTGGCAGTGATGACGGAGAAGAAGAGGAGAGTGGACGCGGCAGCAGATGCGGCGGAGGAATTGGAGGAGGTAAAAAAGATATAAGAGCAATTAGCCACCCAGGCTGAACTCCCAAAGAAAATGGAGGTCATAGCCCGAAACGTTGCACGCTTAGCGCAAATTCAGGCAGAGCAGTATGACTTCAGTAGGAGTCAGCATATAGCTGTGCGTTCAATACGGTTGGGATTTCAGGACTTTGCTCGCGAATTAGGGGGAGCTGTAGGAGCCGAGGTGGGCCATCGCCTCGACAAGACTGAGCGGTTTTGTGTTGGCGCCATTGAAGGCGTCAAGGCGGCAGCTCCCAAGGAGGAAGAAACACATCCTCGCCGGGAGCCGGTCAAAGTCAAATTCCCTGATTCCTATAGTGGAAAATGGGAAGAAAACTTTGACGATTGGGAAGCCAATGTGAAGACCTATGTGCATCTGCAAGAGGTCTCCCCGGATCAGCATGTTCTAATTGCGATCCACGCGCTTAGAGATGAGGCTGCCAGCTTCGCAAGGTCCCTAGTTCGTGCTGCCAACTGCAATGATGATGCAGTTGCGTACTCGTCGTTCACTCCCCTCGTCGATTTCCTGAAGTTGCTGCGCGAGCGATTTGCTGATGTTGCTCGTAGTGTTAAAGCCTCAGATAGGCTGCAGACGATCCACTCTCGCCAGTGGAAGAGTGCTAGGGCACTCAAGAGCACAATTGATGAATTAGTGGTTGTACCTGACCACGGGGTCACTGACACCAGTTGGTTGCCCTCTTCTATCGGGCTATGTCCGAAGCGTTTCGAGGGCACTTCTTCGCGAAGAGCGAAGACCCTGCCACCACTTATGATTCTCTTAGCCGTGAGGTGGTAGCCTTCGAGGCAAAGTCCGTGTCAGTTTCCACTTTCTGGCACAAGGACTTGGATAAAGGCAAGAAGTGGAAAGGCCGCACTATCTCTGGGCAAGTGAAGACTAAGGATAGTCTTGTCCTAACTTTAGATCAGGGTAGTGTGGATGAGATCCCCTACGACCAGATTGAGTGGGGGTTAGAGGAGGAGGACAACGATGTGGGCCAGGGGAGAACTTACGCTGCTGTCGCGGCTGGAGGGAGGCCGCAAGGAGGAGGACGAGACCAGGGCCAAGGGGGACGGGCCTCAGGGAGCCGGTTTCAAGGCGATCAGGGGGTTGGCGGCAGAGGAGGAAACCGCCAAGCGGGAGGMAGGGGTCAAGGTCCCCCGCAAAATCGTCCTAGGAACAGGTCTCCCTATAGGGTAGGAGGATGGCACCCAGGGCTACCACAGGGTAGGCCTTGGGAAACTTTGGGTCTGGACCGGAGTCTATGGCAACAACGATTGGACCGGGGGCAGTGCATTTTCTGCGGTGACCCGGACCATATCATTAAATACTGTCCCAAGTATCGAGAGACCCGAACGGCTGCTCAAGAGTCAAAAGGCAGCCACCGGTAGGGGTAGCAACTGCCCCTACCATAAGGCCATGTGGGGAAAATAGCGCTAGCCTGCAGGAGACTCCCACACCACATGTGCCTATGACAGAGGTTGCAGGCCGGTGTCTAGATAGCTATCCAGAGACTGCTTGTATTAGGGTCTCCCTAGACACCTCCCTCATAGGCGTGGCTGAAGAGTTGAAGGAGAGGATGCCTGCCTGGGCCAAGATGAAAAATGAGAATAAAGGGTAACTTATATTGGTAGATACAGATATTTTGAGATGTAGAGTTGGCGCCTTAGTGGATAGTGGAGCCACTCGTAGTTATATTAGTGGGAAGGCGCTGCAGAAGCTGAAGTTGCAGTTAAAAGTTCAAAAGTTAGCAGACCCTGTAGTCAGTATCCTTGCGGATAATCGCACGATGCGAGTAGAAGACTACGTAGAGGGAGTCCAGGCGTATTTCCGCGTAGAGAAGGATGGGAAAGCAGAGAAAGTTCTCCATTCCCTGACTCTCCTCGTAGAGGATAGCCTCCCATTCGATATAGTCTTGGGTATGGACTGGGGAGAGGCAGCCGGGGCCACACTCCACTTGAGGGAGCATGAGTGTAGGCTCCCTAGCTCGTCAGGCGACGTCAAGACTGCGCGTCTGTACCATGTGTCAGGAGTAGACAACTCCTTGGCACATTGCTGCCTTAGCGCTCCTGCATTTGCACGATTAGTGAAAAGGGAGCAGCTAGAAGAATAGGTCTTCGTAGCCTATGTTAGGCCAATCACTGAGCCTAAGGAAGAGAAACCTATAGACCCTGCTATTGCCAAGTTGCTGGAAGAGTTTAAGGACTTAGCTGAGCCGCCGACAGGAACAGTGTCACGGCCCATCCAGCACCGTATTGAGATAGAGCCTGGCAGTAGAACTCCTAAGGGTGCTGTGTATAGGATGTCCCCGCGGGAGTTAGAGGAGCTTCGCAAGCAGTTGGACGAGCTCCTCGAGAAGGGTTGGATTAGGCCCAGTTCATCTCCCTTTGGAGCACCTGTTCTCTTTGTCCCCAAGAAGGAGGGAGAGCTAAGGATGTGTATAGACTATAGGGGTCTGAATGCTATTATAGTGAAGAATGCTGAACCACTCCCGAGGATAGACGATCTTCTAGATCGAGTGCAGGGGTGCAAGTATTTCTCTAAGATAGATTTGAAGTCCGGATATCATCAGATAGAGGGTTCACCCTGATGATCAGTACAAAACCGCGTTCCGGACTAGATATGGGCATTATGAGTTTATAGTGATGCCCTTTGGACTAACCAATGCGCCAGCAACTTTCCAGCGGTGTATGAATGACTTGTTTAGGCCTTGGTTAGATAGATTTGTTGTAGTTTACTTAGATGACACTCTAGTGTTTAGTAAGACCCTCGAMGAGCATCAGGGTCATCTCAGGCAGGTCTTGGAGAAGCTGAGGGAAGCTAACTTCAAGATCAACGCAAAGAAGTGCGAATGGGCAAAGACCCAAGTTTTGTATTTAGGCCATGTCTTAGACGGAGACTGCATCAAGCTCGAAGACAGCAAGATTGCAGCGATTAGAGATTGGCCGACACCGCATACGTTGACAGAGTTGTGGTCGTTCTTAGGCCTAGCAAACTACTATAGGAAGTTCGTGAGGAACTTCTCCACCATCGCTGCGCCCCTTCGCAGATTGCTAAGGAAGGAGACCATCTGGAAGTGGGATAAGGACTGCACATCTGCTATGAAGAAGTTGAAACAGGCGTTGATCGAATATCCAGTCCTTAAAGTAGTCGACCCGTCCTTGCCCTTTGTCGTCATTACGGACGCTAGTCAGTACGGCATAGGTGCTGTGTTGCAGCAAGACGATGGCCATGGTTATAGGCCCGTAGAGTTCATGTCCGCCAGAATGCCTTCAGAAAAGGTCGCGACATCTACCTATGAGAGAGAACTCTACGCTCTCAGGCAAGCCTTAGAACATTGGAAACACTACTTGCTTGGGAGACACTTCAAAGTCTATTCCGATCATGAGACGTTGAGATGGTTAAAGACGCAGGCCAAGATGACACCTAAGCTTACTAGGTGGGCCGCAGAGATAGATCAGTATGACTTTGAGCTCAAGCCAGTCAAGGGAAAGTATAACGTAGTTGCGGATGCTCTGAGTAGGAGAGCTGATTACTTTGGGGCAATAGTGCATTACCTAAACATAGGGAAGGACCAGCAGCAGAAGATTAGAGAAGCCTATGCGCAGGATCCTATCTATAGTGACCTCCTCAAGAAGGTCAAGGAGGCCCCAGAGACTGAGCCGAACTACCGCACTACTGAAGGGTTGCTCTTTGAGAAGACTAATGTATTTGACCGCCTGTGCATCCCCAATAGTGAAGAGGTCCGTAGTCTGATCTTGGGAGAATGCCACGACACAGAGGGTCATTTTGGTTGGCAAAAGACTTCAGCCAATCTGATGCGCGCATACATGTGGCCAGGGATGAAGAATGACTGCGTAGAGTATGTCCGCAGTTGTAAAGTTTGTCAGCGTAATAAGACCAGGACGCGCGCCCCGCTAGGTCTTCTCAGACCCTTGCCCATTCCAGATCAGCCGGGAGACTCACTGTCCATCGACTTTATGGACACCCAAGTCAAAAGTAGGCATGGTAAGAGCCAAATCATGGTCATAGTTGACCGTTTTAGCAAATATGCAGTTTTTGTTCCCTTGCCGTCAGAGGCACGTACAGATTTAGTGATACAGAAGTTTTTTGACTGCTGGGTTAGTGAGAATGGAATCCCACTGTCAATAGTTAGCGATAGAGATAGTCGCTTCACCAGCCAGAAATGGCAAGAATTCATGGGAGTGTATGGATCTAAGTTGTTGATGTCGTCTGGCCGCCATCCTGAGACTAATGGTCAGAGAGAGCAGATGAACAAGATCCTACAGCAAGTTTTGCGCATGTACATTGGGCCAGATCAGATTAACTGGGATGAAATGTTACCGAAAGTAGCTAGTGCATATAATAACAGCGTGCATCTGTCCACCTGCCGCACTCCCAACGAACTGCACAAGTCCTTTAGACCACGCAGACCGTTTGAGGGACTCAACCGGGATCAGATTCACAAATTACCACCTGGGACCAGGGAGTTTGCTGTACAACACGAGAAAGAACTAGCTACTGTTGTAGAGAACCTCAGGAAAGCCCAACACCGAATGATAGAGCAAGCCAACAAACATCGTCGCCCCTCACAGTTCCAAGTAGGCGACTTGGTCTGGGTCAGTTCTAAAGAGTTTGCACCTAAGGAGAACATCTCGCAAAAGTTACTGCCCACCTATAGAGGACCGTGGCCAGTCCTAGAAGTCAAGGGTGGCGAGGATGGTCCATCCTACACCATTGAACTGCCCCTACACCTCCACACCTACCCAGTTTTCCATGCGTCAAAGTTGCTGCCGTGCACAGTATGCAATCGGTTTCCATCTAGGCGATCTATGATCCCACCTGACATGGACGGGAGATACGACATTGACGGCATCGTAGGTGAAGATGTGTTCAGAACCGGAGGTAGAGGTCGTCCTCAGAGACAGTACAAAGTCAGATTTTCATATCAAGAACCCGAAGACGACCGGTGGTTCACTAGAACTGAACTTCTAGAGACGGCTCCCGACATAGTCCGCGCCTACGAAAGAGATAGGAAAGGTAAAGGTCCTGCCTTGGATTGAAATTTTCTTGGAGGACCTCAAATTTAGGCCGGCGAGAGTGAAACAGCATTCACCGGTTTGCAGTAGCTGATGCAGATCCCAGGGCTCGATCCCTAGATCCCCACCTTACCTGTGTACAGTATCTGTGTCAACCCGTAGAATTGAACCTGTGACCTGTACGACCGCCAGTGGTAGATAGGAGTTCGTAGGTCACAGGGTAGAAGGGATTCGAACTATAGACCTGTCGGGTAGGAGTCTAGACAGTCCATAGGTCGTAGCTGTAGACTGTCTGAAGGGTCAAGGTCGTAGCTGCTACTTACCTGAAAGGGCAAAGTCGTAGCTGCTACAGTACCGAAAGGCCAAGATAGAGGTTTCTAGAAGTGGCCTTTCGGAGTCAGCCTACGTTAGACAGAGGCAAGTGGTCAAGTGGAGGCAGTCCACCTCGTACAGTCAGCAGTCCCAGTCCACCCAGTCCGGTCCAGTCAAGCAAGTATCGTCTGGGACTGTGTGCCCCACGGGCCAGGGGTTACCGCGCAGACCAACGCCTCACAGAAGTATAAATCAAGAGGCTGCGCCCAGCCATTCATTCATTCCTGCGGAAGCCATGAGGAAGCGCTGCCACAGCAGCTTGTGCGAGGAGGTCTGCAGCAGGCCTGAAGACAAACTGGGCGAGAGTGAAGCAGTGTAGCCATAGCGATAGGTAGCGGCAGCCATAGCTGCCATAGCTTAGTGTAGAGTGCAGTGTGTGTGTACTGTGTGAGTGTTCAGAGTGATGTGCGTGGGACATCCAGGGTGATCCAGAGTGTGAACAGTGAGTTGTTTGGGCGCACAGCCGCCATAGCCATTTGCAAGAGAACTCTTAGCTGGTTGCGATATCTCTGAGTACTGTTTGGGCGCAGGTCGCCGGTTTGCTGTATCGCTGTTTACATGCATGAAAAGTGTGTTTGAATTGAGTCTGATTGCACTATTATTATTATTATTATTATTATTATTATTATTATTATTATTATGATTATTATTATTATTATTATTATTGCGAATTTTTATTGTAACCGTGGCCCCAGCGCTTCAAAACACAACTGTGCAGACTTACTCACACCTCACGCATGCTCGACTAGTGAAGGGGCGACCTGAATCCCGAAGCGCATTGACATTCTGCTCATAAAATTTTGGGTGTGGAATCTACGTAGGTTATCCCGGTCTCTGCCTATTTCTCTTCTTTCGAGAAACTACCGGTAGCGTTGTGGGCCATGACTGTCTGATTTGTACAACTTGCATGTTTGCATGGTCTTTTCTCAGATTGTGAACTCTTGCCTTTCCTCGTTTTCGTCTTTTGCTCCCCTTCTCCTCCTATGTGGGCTCCCCGCGTGCGTGTGTGTATGTATGTGAGTGTGTATGTGCGTACATCATGATGCCGCACATGAGCTGTTTGCCTGCCGTGTGTATCTTCTTGGCTGTTTTGTGGGCAATCGCTGGCTTGGGAAGGAAAGAAACTAGAAGCAAAAAGTAATGTGCCCTTTGATCTTGATCCCGATGGTGATTTGATGATGGGCTGCATACTACAAAATACGATGGACGGTTAGAGGGACGCATGATTGTATGTGGAATACCATTCATTCCTCCCACAGTTCAGAGGGTTTGATTGTCTGTGGAAGTCGTAATGATTCCCGTTACACAACGAATGACATTAGAGGAACTCAAGCAAGTAAGGAACGGGAGAGAGAGAGAGAGAGTCGAAGAGAGAGAGAGAGAGAAAGAGAGAGGGGTAGATAAAGACAGACAGACATACAAACACAGACAGACATACAAAGACAGACAGACATACAAAGACAGACAGACACACAAAGACAGACAACCACACAAAGACAGACAACCACACAAAGACAGACAGACAAACAAACAGACAGACGGACGGACAGACAGACAGACAGACAGACAGACAGACAGACAGACAGACAGACAGACACAGACAAACAGACAGATAGACAAACAAAGAGAGGGAGACAGAGAGAGGAAGGGGAAAGAAGAGGAAGAGAATAGGAGAAAGAGGAGGAAAAACGGTCGTGCTGCTCTAAACACTAGGTGCTAGTAGGAGAAGGGAGAAAAGAGAAAGGTGTACAATAATCATAGCTGAGCAGCTTGGGCGCAGGGCAGGTGATGGTGACAGCGGTCTTCGGGTAGGAGGCGCATGAAGAAGGGATCTAAGGAATGATGAGAGGGGAGACGAGATACGTACCTGGTGCATGAAAGAAGGTCGTCTATGGTGTTGACGTCATGTACATTGGTCTTCAAAGTCTAAGTGAGCCTATTGCATGAATGCGGCTGTAGTAGGGTGGGCGAGTAATGTAGGCTGGACGCTGGGACCCAGATAGAGAAGAGCGGCATTGGATACTGTGTTGGTGTAGCCTGAGGGCTTGAACATAGGCTCACGAGTTCATTGTATTGCTCTTATTTTGGATGGAATCTTGGTGCATTTGCTGACGGGGGGATGGGTGGCCGCGCCTAACGCACGCGCACCAGTATTCAAAGGCTCTTAACGTAGCCACGTCACAGGCTGACGTGGCGCCACGTTAGATCCAACATAGTGAGGGTAGAGGGTAGGTGCATGCCTGCTCTATGTCTTACATTTCTGGATTCCGTAGAAAATACTCCATAGCCACCGTGTTCTCTGTCACGGTAGACGGCCTTGTGAATGTTGACTTTGGTCATCATGGATGGAGTAGGCGGAGTGTGCCCCTGAGAAGGTAAAGTGTGTGTCGGAAGGGTGTGAAATTTCTAAGGGCTAATCCCGATTCTGGTTGTCGAGCAACAGGAGGAGCTTCTCAATATTTTCGCAGGAGAGAGATTCGGCTCCCTCAAATTGATATCTGACGCGGCATGGAGGAGAGTTTTTTAGCAAGGTAAGGGTGTGTCGAATTTCTAATGGCTAATCCCGATTCTGGTTGACAAGCAACAAGAGGAGCTTCTCAATATTTTCGCAGGAGAAAGATTCGGCTCCCTCAAATTGATATCTGATGCAGCATGTGGGAGAGTTTTAGCAAGGTGAGAGTCAGTATAGCGAAGATCGAAGTTGGTGAGTCAATTTTCTGAAAAGATGAAACAGGGCAATTGATCGGGAAGGACGGAAATAAACAGCATAATTGGTCGTTGTCTTAGTTCTCAAGATCCCCGACTTCTGCTGTGGTTTTCCTGGGACACTTGATTGATGATGCTCGTGCATTGAAGAACACAACATTGTACTGACGTGCACTGGCGAGAGCATTCTCACATGGGACAATAAGCAATCAGATCGCGCCTAACGCACGCGCCTCTGTATTCAGAAGCTCTCAACGTCGTGACGTCACAGGATGACGTGTCCAACATAGTGAAGGATAGAGGGCAGGTGCATGCCAGCTCTATGTCTTTCATATCGCCTATGAGAATGTAAAGTGTGGATCGGAAGGTGTGGGGAAGTCTATAATGCAAAATAGCTAATGTTTCTTATAAATTTAGCAGGGGAGAGATTCAATGTTGAAATACACGGCTCCCTCAAATTGAAGTATGACGTGGCATGTGGGAGAGTTTAATAGAGGGGGGAGACAACATAGTGCAGATCGAAGTTAGTAAGTCAATCTTCAGAAAAGATGGAACAGGCTAGTTGTCTTCATCGGGAAAGACGGAAGGAAGAAGCATAGAGATTCCAGAGTAAAAGACTAAAAGTGATAGGCGAGTACAATCAAAGTAGACTAAGGAGTGGCGGTGTGTTAGAGCTCGTATTGGAACTTTCTAAATCTGGCAAGTGCTAGTTAAGTGATCGGAAGTGGCATCGGTCAAATTACCGGGTGGAAATGGTAATAAACACGGTTTCGAAATCGGCTGAGTATATCCAAAATAGATAAAATAGGACAGGGCGAAAGACAAATCGAGCAAATTGTGAGACAAGATTTCCTGAATCCGTAGGAGGTGACTTAGGAAAATTTTTGGGTGATTACGGGATCGAAACCTGGCGAGTATAACGGAGGAAACCATCTTTGAACTTTGATCAGATCTAGAAAGATAAATGAGTGGACTCAAGAGAGGGTAGTCCTGTCCATTGGTACAGAGAGAAGCTGGGAAGGAAAACGGTATACAAGTGGGAGGAGGAGATTGGGATGGTGGAGAGGGGAGGGGTGGAGAAAGTTGGCGGCAAGATCGGTCAGTAAAGAACTCAAGGATATTTATGAAGACAATACAGTGAAGACTCCTACTGTGATTGGCCATCAAAGCAAAAGAAGCTGGGAAGAGAAACGGTATACAAGTGGGAGGAGAAGACTGTGATGGTGGAGAGGGGAGGGGTGGAGAAAGCTGGCGGCAAGATTGGTCAGTAAAGAACTCGAGGATATTTTTGAAGACAATACAGTGAAGACTCCTACTGTGATTGGCCATCAGAGCAGAGGTATGTCATCGCCATTTGTACCCATCTCCTAATACCTCCATTCTCCTGATCCAAATACCTGGTTTCCGCCCAGTCTAAGTAAGAAAAAGGAGTTAAAAAAAAAAAAAAAAAAAAAGGGTAACAAAATGAAGCTAAACATCAAAAGAGCGAAGGGCCCAGAATCGCTCCTGTTTTACCAAGGGGCGATGAGGCACTCCCTAATTCGTCACCTCGGAGCAGCCCCGTATTCACGACCGGGTCTGGGTCATGATACTCAGAGGATGGGAACGGGTTTTCGAGACATGAGACAGGGGGTTGCGCAGGAGGGAGGAAGTGTGCAAAGGATTGCATGGACAACAAAGAAAATATTACAGAAGAATCTGAATCAGGAAGGAGAGAATGAACGAAGAATAACAGGGATTGAAAGCTCAACATAGCAGTTAGGTTGGACTCATGAGCCCTCTCAGTCAGACCACCAAATTGGGCAAAAAATGTCACTAACGGACAGCATTTCACAGGACAGGGAAAGTAGGCTGACACCGCAGCAACTGCAGGATAGTCAACATTCGCAGCGGGAGGAAATGAGTGGGGATTACTCAGGCATGGAAGGGGAAATTCTGACGGAAGAAGAAAAGAACAGTATGATTAAGACATCTCAAGAGCAGGGGAAAACTCAACACATGGTTACCCCTACTTCGTCCAAATTGGTCGATTCTTCCTCTTCCCCTGGGTTAACTAATCAACCTCCATCTACCTCTTCGTCCAATATGGTCCAATCTCCCCCAGTGGGGATCAAACCATCTCAACCAACTTGGGCGCAGAGAGTGAGAGAGACACTGAATGACAGAACGTTGAACATCAACAGGGTGTCCATCGGTCCCTCTGGCACAAAAGGAGATGAACTCAAGGTCCCAATGAGAAATCTTTCCTCTACTAGAGCGTATTTTTTATCGCTCTTCCTACAGGCATCAGAGCAGGTTGTGATTGATCAAGGGGGAAGGAAAACTTTGATGAAGGCATACCCAACAGACAAATTGGCAAAAAGGGATGCAGTGTACACTAAGCATGCTAGTAATTGGATCTTTTATGATTATGGAGCAACAAGATCAATGAATGACAAAACGAAATGGATATGTAAAAGGTTAGAATCAATGAAGGATGGGCCGGATGCAGTTTTCGAACTTTTTTTAATTCAACCGGTGTCACCCACAGTCTTCACAGTCATCAGTCTTTTTGAAAAAGACAAACAACAGATGGATGGCTGGAAGAAATTGAAATGGGAAGGGTCAGAAGTCCGAATTTATCCATGGCTGCCAAAAAAAATGGGTCCGGAGGAGAAAAGGGATCAATTAATGAAAGATTTTTATTGGGTAGAGCTAAGGCATATTCCAATCGAAATTCAAGCTGCATTCATATACGATTTCGGTCAGCAATATAAGATAGTAGACTTCATTGACCCGCTGCCAACGTAAGTTGCCAAACGAGATGATTATTTAATGATGGCCTTAGATCTGCCAAAAGACCAACCGTTTTCTCTAGACGATATCATCCCATTCAGGATGGGAGGGAGAGTCTATCAGATTCATACGGCCCACAAATTTAGGCCATGGTGTTTTAAGTGCAAGGCCTACGGGCATCTCAGTGTGGAATTCGCCTGTCCGCTCCACCCGCAACACGTTTTTCCCTTGGAGCACAAGTTAAAAAAGGATCAACAACGACCACACAGATGGATCCCGGTATCACAAGGATACGAAGGGTGGGTTTACAGTGATGAGTTCAATCAAGCGGGTCATCCTATTGGGTGGTTTTAGGAAGGAAGGAATGATGCGAGAAAACCCCCACGACCACCTTTGGATTGGCTTCCTCCTCAGTCTCACTTACTCCACCAACAGCGCAGGGGGGGCGGGGGGGGGAAGAGGAGGACAGCAGCAAGAACACGCGTCTTCATCTCCTCCACTCTTGCATCAGCAAAAGGTGCAGGAGCAACCTCCCATTCCTCCAGAACAGGTAATCTCAGACAGCACAGGGGAAAGGAATATAGGCTCTATGGGGGCAAAGGGGAGTACTCGAATAGGAGAGAGTGCAGACCAGGCTAAGAGACAAAAGGAAAAAAATGCACATATAAAGATGAGGGGAGAAGAATCAAAGACGGTGGGTCCTGATCCTTTGGGCTATCCTCCCAGATCAAACCAAGTTCATGAGACGGAATGGAGGGTAGTAAGGAGGAAAGGACAAAATAATTCCAAGGAAAAATGAGATAACTGTCCACTGACGCAAGATGGAAAGGAAGAAAGCCTAAAGGACCAAGTTCTTGAATCTGTAGAGGAGCAGGAAAATCAGCCAATGGAAATTGATCCGCTCAAAGTGGCACTGAGTGCAGAGCCCATGGAGGTAGAAACAGCCCCAATTGTGATCCCCTGCTTTTTACCTCTATTGGACAGCAGCAAAGGAAGGGAGGGTGACCTCCATTCTGAACTAACAAGGCTAGGGGATTGGCTGATCCAGAATCTGCAAACCAAATTTCCAGATTGGCAAGAAGATTTTTGGTTAGACTTTCATAGTCATTTGATGCTAGTGCTGGTAAATAGTGAGAGTTTAAAATTGGCATTACAATATGGGCTACCGCAGAACTCTGATTGGTCCAGTACGAGCCACAGACTGTTAAGTGTGGTAACATAAAAATTTATTCCCCTTCTTTTGACTAGGGGTAGTTCACAGGATAGCTCGCAAATCCTTTCTCCACTAGAGACAAAGAAGGTGGATGGTACAACTATTGATCAGAAGATTGAACCACAGTCTGGCAGTTCGAGGAAACTCAAGGCGCTTGCTAGAAAACACAAAACCCAGGCCAAGGTAAACAAAAAAAAAATGGAAGCAAAAACTGCCTTACAAATTGCAGGGAAGAGATTCTCAGGCAAAAAAAAGATGTTCTCAACAGCCACTCAGGTTTCTCTTCGAAAGAAGATTCCTCATCTAGCTCTCACTCCCTGCAAATACAGCCTGAAACACAATAGGCAGACAAAGGACTGCAAGAAAATTGGAAAAAATACAAAAAAAAAAAGGAAGAAAAACAAGCTTGGAATACTGAAACAGGCTGGTCTTTTGCAGTCTGCAAGCTACCCTTTTGAGGTTTTGGAACAGCAAGAAGGTATTCCTGATGGAAGTTTGGAACGGGACCCAATAGCAACAGAGCAATCCCAAGGGCTTCTTTTGAGTAGGATACCAGTGAGGAATGTTGGAGCAGTGAACAGGGCAGATCCCCAGGCTCAAGGGGAATCACCTGCTGATTGTCTGACAGCTAGCAACTCAAAAGTGGAAGAACAGGCAAGTTTGGTAGTTGCTACAGCATTGCAGGAAAAGCATAAAGATCAAACTGATACGCTTTTTCTCAGTTCTTCGGTGGTAGTTTTGCAATCTGCGGGCAACAATCTCTTCCCAGCAACGTCTGGCACATTGCTTTTTCAGCACACAACAGAGGAAGATAGCCCCCCCAAGCCACCCTTTCAAGCATATGTTAATCCAACGCAAGAAGTGAAAGAAATAGTATCCGAAATAACGGGGGAAAGAAAATTTTTGCTTTTGACGGAACAACCAGCAAGAGAATCTGTTTTAACCCCCGGAAAAGATGTGTCATTGGTAGATATGAGACAAAGGAAAAAGGAAATCAGAGAAGAACTCAAGGAAGGGAAGAAGCAAGATCTCAGAAAAATGGAACTTACCACCACCAACAAAAGACAAAAACTCAAGCAAAGAATGGCTCAAGGACAAGGGGACCTGCCGCCGTAAAAAACTGGAGTAGTTATTTTGCCCGTCAGGTGCAAAGGGGGGTGTTGGCAAGTTGGATGTCAGAAACTCTAGGAGTGGTATATGGGGAAATAACGGTGCAGGGTACTAAGCCTCAGTTTCTATCCCTTGTGTCCCTTACTGGTGGTTTGGCGGGGGAATCATGCATTAAACTGGAAATAATGAAATTTATTAAAGAAAATTTCCCTCCAGGTGCTGTTGCAATTCTTTCATTATCTACTGAAGAGCAAAGGATAGCAGAAAGAGATGTATATATTAAATATGAAGGAGCCAAGCAAGATGAATTGAGATGGTTTGATCAGGTGACTCTTAAAGAGGTTCAAATTCTCAAAATCAAGGCAGGACTATTCTGGTCAGAAGAGGATGTGGGGATCCTTCTAGCAAGGGTGCTCAAAGATGGTATTATAGAGAAGGGAGGGGTGTTGGATTCAGGTCAGTGGAAGATACTGTAGACGGATCAGTCTCCTACCCTTCAATGTATGGTCCATCGGGTCGCTAAGTATTTTTTAATGAAAGGAATTAAAATTATTGACGCTTTGTACAATAAGGATAAAGAATGAAAATTGCTTAGATGACAGGCAGATCTAGACCTAAGGTCTCTTAATGTGAATGGACTGGCCTCTGCTAAACTAAGTAAAAGACAAGCGATCTATGACCAATTAAAAGGTATTGATGGTAAAGAGTGGCCGGATGTAATATGCATCCAAGAAACTCACTTGATGGACTCAGATACGTATAACTACCTTCATAAACAGATATGGCCTCACCAATCCTATAGAGCGCATGCTACTACTCCAGGAAGCTCTGGGGTGGCCATTTGGGTCCCTCCCCACTCAAGAGCAGACATTGTCTACTCGGTGGCAGACCAGGAACAAGGGAGGTGGGTGTATGTGTTGGCAATGCTTGAACTAGAGATTGTAGGGATCCTATGCGTGTATGGGCATAATGAGGTAAGGGAAAGACAAGCCTTCTTTGAGAACATAATTCCACATCTACGTGCAGGTATTCCCTTAATCATAGCAGGGGATTTTAATGCGGCCCCAGATCATAACTTAGATAGATGGCGCCCCCCTTCTCCATGCCCATCATACATGACACAAGACGAAAGGATAATAGAGGATCTATGTCAATCTCTTAACCT